GCCTTCAGGAATGACTGGATGCTTAACCAAAGACAATCTAGCGATCCCGCAGATTTTGGGTTTCAGTGGACTCCACTGTAGTCACCAGAGTTTGTGCTGTGGCGGTTACCCGCTTTACTGTTGCACGCAAGAGACCCGATTTCGATTACCAAGTGGGGAGAATTTTGTATACAGTATTTTGGTCTTTCTACGGGGATGCAGCACCCCTCTCAGCCTAGCCAATTTTTGGGGCCCAAAATATGTCATACAAAGAGTAAGAGAAAGATAAGATACAGAAGGTCGTTATTACCATCATCCATTAAACTCTAACCATCTTAACCATCTTGTAATATTATAAGCATTTCTATAACCTTTAAAAAAACATACTATCAGAAAACCACAGGATCACTCAGAACATTGATTTCGTCCATCCAGCTATCACTAATAGTTGATCATTTATTATCACGTGTCACGATGTGGTGCAGTCTCTAAACGTGCTCATTTTTCGTTCTTTTGATGAAAAAAATACTAATCTATCTTAAATGGAATTTGAGATATTTGCGATAGAAGGAGGCGGAGTCACCTCGTATCAGATAAAAAAAAATCAGAGAGAAAATGGCTGCCAGCGTTTGTCGACTTATAAAGCTAGAGTGTACTAAGAAACTGCCAATTAACTTTGTTGTTGCCTTTGTTTTAAAGCAAAATTGTCCACAAAAATGTGTTTTTAAATACCTATAAGGTGTTCAGCCTAAAAAGAAAAAAGAAAATTGATAAAAATTGTTCAACGGGAGGAAAAATGTGAGTTTCTTCAATTTCGTTATTTTGACGAGCGCCTGGTGAAACGCCAAACCAACTCACCGGCACCTGGACAATGAAGATTTGTGAGGCAGCGTGGTGGAATCAGGCTCTCGTCAATTTTTGGACATGTAGAGTTATTGGTATCATTTTAAAGCTTGTTCAATTATATTTATTTGGATGAAAAAAATATCCATTTATCTTGAATACAAGTCAAGATATTTGCGAAAGAAGGAGGTGAGGGTCCATGTTTTCAGAGGTAATATTTGTGAGAAAATGGTCGCCACATTAGTTATTTCCTTAGCTTAAGAGTCTGTGGTAACTGAAAATTTACATTTTTGTGCCTTTAATTAATGTTTTTCACTAAAATCCACACAGAAATGAGTTCTATAATGGGCATGAAAGGTGTTGAGCCAAAAAAAAATTGATAAAAATTCACAAACCAGCGGAAAAAAGCAAGTTTCTTCACTTTATTTTGACGACAGCCTCATTTCAGCCGGCTGCCCACATACTTCACCACTCTGCTGTGTGGACTGGCCGGCCACCCCTCTCTGCTACATTAGAGGCTTCCTTCCGCGCCAGTGGAAGAACTGCGACTAATGTTTTCTGTCTGCAGGTAATCACTGACTGTACTTTTCCCAGGAAAAGAAGCATTGAGTATGGGAAAAATGCATGCTCTCATTGGCAAGTTCTAAAATAAATAGCTAAAAAACAAACAAACAACAAACCCCAAGTATTTCTTAGCATGTCAAAGCCTTGTGGACTTACAAAAGTATAAAAAAGCAATACCGAAAGTAGGCCTACATCCAGACTTGCATACAAGCGTCAAGATGGAGTTTTAAAAAAGGGAGGACTTCCGTAACGAGCGACCACTAAGACAGTAGAATCTAGGGATAGGGGTAGGGGTAGGGGTAGGGGTAGGGCTTAGGGTTAGGGTTAGGGTTAGGGTTAGGGTTAGGTCTCTTCTTTATTGTGTTTGTTGGTGTGGTCACTAGTTACGGAAGTCCTTCCAAAAGAAAAAGGCAAACCCAGTAAGTTACAATGGTTGGTCGACACCCTCAACAACACCTTCAGTGGTCCAGCAGTATAACGGTGTCATACTTAGTCATTGTAATGAGATGATAACTGCTATCTAATCCTAGATTCTACTCGTTAGTCTATTTACGTTGGTTTCAATACTCACTGTTTCGAGCGGGGAACGATGAGTGCGGCTCGTACAGGTCCGGAGCTCCATCCACTGTGTCGACCCACCAGTAGCGTCGATCCCTGCTCAGACTAGGTTTTAGTCGTGGCTCGGAAGGGCAGTTTAACCTTCGCCGTCTGTTTATATACCCCCCGTGCTCCCTTATTCTCCTACACTCACTAGGCTACACTGAGTTTGTTCACTTATTTCACGTGATTCTGGCTTGTCTGGTGATCACAGCGAATTATAAACCACAGTCATTTTAGTGGGGTGCCCACTACGTCTGGGATCGGCCGATCGGGCCGATAGCCCGACTCGATCGCCTCAAAAACAAACGTGTTTGTTTTCAGTTTCAGGCGATCGAGTCGAGCGATCGGCCCGATCCAGCCGTAGTGGGCACCCGTGTAAGAGTTTTACGACGCTCTGAACTGCACAACGTTATTTTATACCTAATAGTTTCTATTTGAAACCTATCACAGCAAGCCTAACAGCATAGTAATATCCGCGATTTGGGTCATAGAGGGGGTTTCAGAGGGGCTTGCCCCCAGAGGTTTTAAAAAGTCTAGGGGGTTATATGGGGGCTTGTCCCGTGAGGTTAAAAAATCTAGAGGGTTAAATGGGGCATGCCCCCCCCCCCCTCTTATAATTCGATGTTCCGCAAATAAGTTTTGAAATTTTCTTGAAAATGATTGATTCGCAATAGTTTTGGTGCCCATATGTGTGATCTGCAGCTAAAATCAATGCAGTGTGATCCTCAAAGCAATGCATCTGTATGTAAATACCATGTAAATTTGTAGTCGATTGTAAAATGGGTAACGGGGAAAGATCAGGGAAACGTAAGCTTAGTTTTTTTAAGAGCATCCCAGCAAAATAATAAACGGAGAACCATAATCGCCGTTGTCTGTCGCAGATCTGATACTGGATGATCGTGATCGACGGCTGTATTCTTTTAGCTATATAATGGGAACTGTACTACATGTACATGTATATATATTATACTTTATATAAATATTATACTTTACCAAGCCAAGCGTCTTCACTCTTCTGAACTACAACTTGGTCCCAACACGCCAAGACCCGGGATAACTGGACGGCTATAAGTATATTACTCGTCTGTCTGCATCACAGTGAGAGACCACCCACAGCAGCGTTCGTGAACAACTGACTCTGTCACACTGGCCGACTGACTGCTCACTGAGCTGGTGAATCCTGACTCTGTCACACTGGCCGACTGACTGCTCACTGAGCTGGTGAATCCTGACTCTGTCACACTGGCCGACTGACTGCTCACTGAGCTGGTGAATCTCGCTCACGGAATCCGACAAATCACGCACTGACTACCAAACACCAAACACCAAATTGTGTACTTTAAAATGAAGGCCGGTGGTCTGAAGGGGGAGGGGAGGTCGTCTTGTCTAGTGGTTACAATAGAGAGAGAGAGA